TGGGCGATTATACCACATGCGCCCTGAATGTTTCAATCCGTATAAGGATTATTGAAGTTTTATTTAATAAATTCCTGGAAACTTAATATGCTTCAGAACAATCTAAATCCTTCAATAATTTCCATTATATGCATATCACATTTTTCATGTATTGCTAGATTAAAACCTGAAATGCCAGGATATTTACATATCTTCTTGTGACACAAGTCGTCTTTATGTCTATCGACTTGTCTTTCTTCGCACAAGAACACATTTATACCTCCACTGGCTTTATACTTTCAGATGTTTGGACTATCCGTCTAACTTCACATTTTTCAGGTGAAATCAATCTTGATTGCATATTTTTTTTATTTTATTTTGGCCAATCATTTATCTGTCCAAATTTCATGACAGATTTGAGCTCAAGATCCTCGTCAATATTAATAATATTTAGCGCTACATTATATTAACAATATCGTCGACGATCACTTTACGTCGGTTCCATTATTACCTAATAAAGACACAACTTATTGAGATCTCTTTATCTCATTATTTTTAGGTACCTGAGCTTTTCCCATGAGGTCTTATGAAGTATTATGTCGTGGTGCTCTTCTAGGGCGCTTGCCTCCTTATTATGAACATTTTGAATATTTGCCCCTCTTCTTCAAGGAGTTTTATTTTTGGAACCGATTGGTTTGTTACGCTTCATGCGTGCCATAGACTTTGTCCCTCATGGATTTTATTCTATTTGGAGCATTAGCAGCTGAAATATGACATTTAGTTTTGAGTCAACAAATGCGTCTGGCAATAATTTGTAAATGAATTATCACTTGAACTTCAAGTTCATATTTTCTTGTACGAGGATCTATATGTATTCATAATAATTCATTTCACGTATCACTTTCTCAGCTGCCCATTTTCTCCCCCTAATGTTGGGATCACCAACACATTTCCTAACCTTCTTTGGGAACTCATCTTTGTGCATTTTGGTAGCATAATTAAATCATATAGTACATCCATATTTCTATATAGAAATTATTTGCTTCCTGACTTTGAACCGATTGTGATAGGGAGAAATTTTATAACTTGGCTAGATGAGTACAAGTGCTGCTGTATAGTAAATAATACGTCTCATACCAAATTTTATTTTTGGGAGTTTTGTTCTCATAACCAATAATTTAGCTATAATTGGAGGCATACAATTTCTGCTAAACCAACTTGGATTTAAACCAGTATTATTAAGATAAATCATCATAATTTATATTCTGAAACTGTGCTCTAATAACTCGAGCAAGCAATCTTGCAAAAGTCAATCTGCAAGTTGATAACAAATGCACATGTGACCATAGAATAGATGCATTTATTAAAATCATATAATAGTAAACGATCCACATGGCAGGTGACTGGACCCATATATTTATCACATTTTATTTGTTCCAGAAATCAAAGAGATTCAATCCCAACCTTAACTGGTATATCATGAGAACAAGCAGCACAAGATAATTCCTGAAGAATCTTCTATTCTTCAATATATGCCAATGTAATTCTCAATTAATTTTTCGCATCATAATTGAACTAGGATGATCAACCAGTTATGCCAATTAATATTTGTTTTAGTAAACCTCTAGTTTACTTGTGGCATATGATTCCATTATCATACTTATATTTGTGTAGTACAAAAAGAAAGAAAATCGGGTAACCTTTCATATTTACCCGGTGTGATTATAGAAATATGAAGATATTCAATCCTCCTTTCATTTATAGTCTCAACATGCCAACCACTTTGACTTATACATTTGAAACTCAAAAAGTTTCTTTTGAGACTTTACAATATCAATGTCATGAATAATTTTATTCATCCGGATAGTAACAAATTAATTTTTCCGGAGCTCTTAATAACTTTTGTACTACAAGATCTTTTATCATACCATTCATATGGTAAATGTCTCCTTCACGGAGAAACTTATATCATAATAAATTGTCATGGACAGAATTACCATAAGCAAAATCATTTCTTGATTTAATTTTGCCTTTAATAACTTTTATAAGGCATGACAAAATAATATTTGGCGTATCACATGTACGCGACCAGTGACATATTCAGGTAACCACACAATAATATTTATTCTCTTTATTTCACTCAAACCTCCTTTAGAGGTGAGTTGCGTGGTATTCATATAATCATGAATTGCATATCTTTATTCATTGCTTTTATCACATATTGTCACATTCAACTTTAGGAATGGGTTTGCATTCTCAATGCTTATCACAAGTCACATTTTTTTCAAGGAATGGATCATAATCAGCGACGTACTTTATTATTTTCATACCAATTTGATGACAAAAATTGCCTTCACATTTTGAAGGACTATTTTGAGAACCCTTATTGTTCTCCTTTTATAATCATAGTGATGATTATTATTATTTTGATTTTTGGAACGCCAAGGTTCGTTGTTCAACCACTTGTCTTCATTTAAACTTATTATGCACTGCCACCACATTCACCTCAAGAATGGAGCAAATCAAGTGGACAATCTTCATGCCTTTAATAAAAAATATATTATTTTTCTTTAGTCATTATATATCATCAATATGGTATAGTGCAACTCAAACCCAATGTCTTACCCATATAAAGACATGTTAGGCTATAATGAATTGGGACTTAAATCCAACTCTTGTCATCATGGAGCATCAGGACTTAAACCAGATGTCTTATACTTATGGTGCGTTGGGACTTGAACCCATCGTCTTACCCTCATATAATATTTATCACAAATTGTCTCATTCACTTTTAGGAATGGAACATAATTTTATGTAGCCACAAATAAGTAAATAGAAATGATAAGAACTATTATCAACAAAAATATGATGGAGTACAAACTCGTGTACTAGTATCTTACATATAAACATTTCAAAACAGAAAGTCACCATGTAGCGTTATTGCTATATGATGTGTTACTGCAAACTAATGCATGATGATTACATAAAACGTACACAAGAATTGAAACACATAATTAAATATACAATTTCAGAAAGCAAATAATCATGAGTAATAACTATTGCTAGCATATTCTGTTAACAGAAGATGTCAAAATAGACTAGTAAAACATAATGATATCACTTTGCCAACTATCAACATAAAAAAACATGTTGCATCTAGTTAGATTAGTATGGATCATAATATAATTGACATTATTTTTCCTGTGCCTAAAGTAGAAGATTAATGAAAAACATTGCCTTTACCAAAATAGAAACCTAAGTATACAGTTTTTCACTCGCAAAATTTTTTCTTTCTCAAAGAAGCAATAGAATCACATCACGAAATCAAACAAAATCGGAATAAAATCTCAACATAGTATTACTAACCTATTAAAATCCTTGAAGTAATATGGCCATTCCTCCAACGTGATCATGTCACATAACTATTATGAGTAAGAAAATCACCTTTTCCAGATTAACAGTATTTAACTCTAACATGCTTGAAATTTAGTTTCATGGGACCTCTAGGATATAGTAGTAATTATTATCTACCTAATATACATGTCTAACTTTTGTAGTAATTATGTTATAATTTATAGAACCACTAAAAGGCTATTTAACGGACCAAATATTAGCATATGATGGTCCTACCTTGTTTCATCCGCTCCAAACTAGCATATTAACTCTTTTTCATTTTCATGCCGAGATATGGAAAGACCATACGAAATTTTGTGGCTTACTTTGAAGTTGAAGAAGACCAAAACATTAGTGAAAATATAATGTGACTAAAATAGACAATATAAGCAAACTATCAACATGACATATGACATGTTGTAGGTATGATGATATAAATGAAATATTAGAGACTCGTGCTGATAATGTGTTACGAAATATAACTCAAAGTAACAATATGGAACAAGGAAATAAAAACAATTTAGTAAAACATGAATAAGAAATGGAGATAGAGAGAAGAGAGAGATTTTCTTCTTCAATTGTGTGTATTTTCCTATCTATTACAAGGCCTTTATATAGGCATAAAAAGTAAAGAAAATATGTCATGGAATATGTCATTAAACATACAAAATATGTCATTAAATATGTCATTAAGCATTTGAGATGAAGATCATGAAAGAAGAGTAGACATACACATTAATATAATATTTATCATAACATTCTAGAACTATAGAATTTGACTGATCAGCCACTAACAGCCAACAGCTACCAACCAGCCCACTAACTTTAAACAAAGTTGTGTATTTTTAACTCTCTGCCTTTTGACATTTTTTTTTTAAGTACGGTGACCTTGTATGCACACTGATTATTTCACTATATGTATTACTACCTCCGGTCCACAATAAGTGACTAATTTATCTTGGAAGAAAATACTAAATTATAGACAAAAATAACTAGTGTGACTAAACTATTCTTAATTAAATATTGCGGCATAGTTATAATAACACTTATTTCTCTTCTCAAATGTGAGAAGTAAATGACTTTTTATGAATACGTATATAAGGGTAATTTTGGAAAAACAAATTGAATTTTTTCTTGATTATATAAATGGACATTTATTTTAGACCAAAATAAAAAACCAAATTGATCACTTATTGTGGACGGAGAAAGTATCTCCCACCAACATAGAACTATAGATACAGATAATTCAGCACAACCAAAGCCTTAAGAGATTAAAAAAAAATCAATTTTACTAACATTTTTTGCCTCGTACTAGAATTTGTCTTGCAAGACTAATTGATCCATTCATAATATCTTTGTTCAAAAGTCCTTTTGTTTTTTTCTGGAGGGGGATTTATGGGGATTAGGAAAGGCGTCTTTGTAACAACAACAACACCAAAAACCAATAAAATTCCACAAGTAGAATTTGGGGAGAATAACGTGTACGCAGACCTTACTCCTACATTGTGAGGTACAGAGGCAGGACACGTCTTAGTACACAAGTTAAAATTATAGCAAGAAACTTTCTACCTGAATTGTTCCTTCCACAATTCATGTAACAGTCAAACAACATGATGCACTCAGAGATATATTTTAGAGAGAAACTGCAAGCACCTTTAACTAAACAAATATCTGGATGTATACATTTTTTTGTTCGTTTTCTGGTAACATACATCTTAGTAGTTACTCTAAAGGCCAACTCCTTATGCACAACAGTAACAAGAAACGGGAAGAAAGGGGNGGGGGGGGGGGGAAAGAGAAGCCTATACCAATTCAATTCCAACCATCTTTTCGTTCTGTAAACCAAAAAAAAAGGAAAGTCAATCATTTGGACCTAATCAACATCAGGAAGGGCGTGCAGCTGTTTCTGATGAGCCCGAGCAGTGAAACCAGCATACCAAGCGACTCTCATGAGCTGCATGCCAAGAATGAGTACCCACCAGCAGACTAGTCCTCTAATGGTATGCAGCATCCATGATGGTGCAGCGAGTTCTGCACTGAGCTTTAAACCCCTCATCAATTGCAACACACGATAAGCTTCATAAACTACCGGTGTCACCAACCACACTGGTGACTTCCAATGCCATGTCAGCATCTCTGTGAGTATCTGTATGCATAGAAGCAGGAGATAGGGACCCAAGAGCACCGCATAAGAAATGAAAGGAAGTTGAGGCTGAAGGAAACTGTTCTGAGAACCAAAAAGTACTGTCAAGGGAATGACTAAACCCATAATGTTTGCGACCATGTTCCATAACTGATAACTAAAAGGCGGCTTGCTGCTGGAATCTTCACTGGTGTCTGGTGAACGAGCACAAGAATCGGCTAACAGGAGAAATAGGTTTGCTCCAAGATTGTAAATACAATCAAGTCCAGTCAAGGAAAGAAGGCTGGCTATGTTGGGACCAATGAAAACTGATGAAATAGGCAGCCACAAAGTTGGCACCATCCCAGTGGCTAAGAGAACTGCAGGGCCAAGAACCCACACAGGCCATTGGAGGTATTGGAGCTGCAAAGGTGGCGGATTCTTTACATCAGTGAGGCCTTCAGCCTCAGTTAATGAAGATTCAGCTGGTTTGCTGGACGACATGGTTTCAAATATATTGGTTGTCCCTTCCAAAAATTTATCTTCAATATTATCACTAGGAACATAAGTGACAGGTGCAGGTTCCCATGGAGACTGATTTGAACAGCAAAGAGTGAACGACTTACGGCTCATACAAGGAAAGGTCATTCCATTTGGCACTCTTTGGATTTTCAACAATTGCAGCTGTTTATGACGTGCATGTCGCGAAGTAACTGCTGATGTTGCAGATGGCAGGTGGACTAAAGATGCCATTTCCCTCTGTTCATAAACTGAAGTTAGGTGATCAAGGGACTAACTGCGACTGCAATTACCTGGATGAATACATGGTATCATTTCAAGTAAAGTTAGATCATCAACAATCAAAAGACAAACCACCATTTATTTTGCAAATCACAATATGAAACAATGATCCAGATCTTTTAGGTGGTTAACTGATAAGAGATTAAAGTTATGATATAAGGTCAATGAAGAGATGAGTAGTCTGCAGATAACCAATTTCCGTTCATCAATCATCGAGCAGAGGCAGACAAAGGACCACTGCACAAGATGAAGTTACTGCAGTATTCACAAAGAATGTCCGAACATGTACGTGTCTTATCAATTCATATGCTGACACCAATATCTGAATTTTAATATTAGTGCTTCAAACATCTAGAAATAACGTCTAAATTTATTTAAGGCATACTGGAGTTGAAAGGAGCTTACATAATTAGAGGGTATTAATCAGACAAGAAAGACCAGTTCCATGGAAACCAAATAAGAAAGGATAACAAGGTTAAACCCCTTTCTGAATAGGGCCACGAGAAAGGTCTCATTTTGTTGATATGTTTAAAATAAAAGTCATAGCAAGCCTAATTAGCTGGTCGGAAGGCTCGATAGTTTAATCCAGGAGGCAATTAACATGTACAAAATTCGGCTCAGACAGAAATAAGATTACAAATTTGTGACCTTTCACTTCATGATTATGTATTACATCAACATCTTCTTTCTACTGTCTGCATAATATGCAGAGAACAGAAGCTCAAGAAGCAAATTTTACTTGGTTTATCTGAGATCAGCTTATTCCTGAACTCAAATTGCAGAGTAGTCTGATGAGACTTGTACATGAATTAGGTTATTATCACATCCATGTATAATATTTCTGCAGCATTACTATAGTAAAGGATTGCTTGCTTCAAGACTCAAAAGTAGCACATATAAGGTGCTTATCAGGATCGGGCGTAGCTAATCTAGCAAGTATAAAGGATCATGTTAATCCAGTTGAATAAAACCTTGTTAGACTATCGAGGAAGGAGGAGTCTAGAAGACGAGGGGATCGTGACTTGTGACTAGTTGTGAGACGTGTTAGTTTAAGGAAAATTTGAGGAAATCTGCTGACAATGTTATGAAATCTTACTCTCGTTTAGTGATTCCTTTCCTTCAAAACAAGAACAATGTAGCAACAATCCTCGATCTACCTTTGCAGCAGCTTCAATATCAGCTCTTCTAATCCAGGATCTATATATTTAAGATAATAGATCATGTCACCCTTTAGCTTGATCAGGATCTAATCCAGGTACATTCTCTTTAGCACCAAAAGAAGCTTAATCATGTCACCCTTTATTTCTTCAGCAATCAGCACCCATCAAACTCCTCAAAAGGAAACGTTTAGTTATTGCTTCTTCCTAAGCTTAAATTTGTGCATTATTTTTGCTTGACGATGAGTTAATTGTCGCACATCCTTAACAGACTTTGCAAAGAAATCCATTACCGGGCTTGTTTTTCCTTAACACTTTCCATGCCATTTAACTAAACAAGCTCATTGGGGTGATAAAATATTGCGTTATATATGCATCACTTCAATTCATAAACTCTTCTGCATATACAGTTGAAATCCCACTATATCAATTGTCTAGGGACCTATTAGTTATATATAGGTAGAAGAAAAGGGTTGACCAAACGCAGAGATTCACGTTATCAAGATAAATATTGACAATAACAGTAAACAGAGTTGTGATTTCCAGATGAAAGCTGAAATTTTTACACTAACCCTTCTTTAATCCAACTTCCAATTTCCACACACAACAAAGACAAGCAAACTAGTTGGCAAATATAAAAAATCCAAGAAATAAAGAAGAAAAAAACAATTCCTAACATATTATTTAGAAGAAATTTTAAAAGGGGGAAAAGTACCGTGCATAATCTAGTTAAAGTTGCAATCTTGTGAACTACTGATTGAGAAGACAAATAGCAATTGAAATTACAATGAAAGCATTTGTCATCACCTATACTCCTGCTGAGTGAAATTCAATGTTGGAGCTTTGACAATCAATCGATAGGGTCTTTACTCTCAGAGTTCCTCATTCTTTAATTTGGAAGGAGAGTAAACAAATGTATGTGAAGAGAAAGACAAGTGCCAAAGAAGAAGAATAAAAGAATCCGGGGAAAGGGGTGGAACACGTAAAGGTGCGCGTATGATACGGAGGAAATTATTTTACATGTCAATTTTGTTTTTTGTTTTCAACCGATTATTTTTAGGCCCTGTTTGTCCATAAAATAAATCAAATTTTTGTAAATTTTTCGAAATTTTTCGAAAATGAGTATTTTAGAAGTCAAAAAGTGATTTTGACAACTTTTTTAAAAATTTAAGAAAATTATCGCTCATAAAACTAGAATATTTGTTCAAGTTAATGTATGTTCAAATATAATTTTAAATTATAAATACTATTTTTCAATTAATTTCAAATACTAATTTTTTAAAAGAATTATAATTTTTATTTCCAAATGCCTACTTAGACTAATATGGCTCCGCCATTACTCATACCTATCAAGAAACACCACCACAATTCGTCAATCAGTCAATGTCCCATTCCTATCGAGTATGTACTATAATGTGCCATCAACTTTAAAATCTAACTCAATTCCAATTAGTATCAAAGGTAATTTTTTATTATTATTTTTTCATGGAAAAACTATCTTACACCCGAAAATTCGTTATTCAATATGTACATGTTAAATGTTCAAATGGTGCATTTTCATTCTGGTACCCCTTTTTAATTAATGGGTATGGCGTATTTTATATTGTGTAATTGACAACGACATTTCCAAGGAAGAAATTATCTTCTTAAAGCATGAGCCATGACTCCTCTGAAATTGGACCTAGTCACAAATAATATCGTCATTTGCGATATTATCATATTATTACTAGGTTGATATGGATTAGGATGGTCTCTAATCAAAGTTTGACGCGAAATTATTTACAATTTCCCCATATTAATTCTATAATAAATCTCCTCACCAACTGTTTTTATATCTAATGTATAGTTTACGGGAGAAATTAAAAAATAGCCAGATTTAAAAGTGGTCATTCAAAAATAGCCACAGTTTCAAAGGTAATCGAAATATAACCACTTTTTATGTAAAGATAAATATGAACGAAAATACTGTTCAAAATCCGAAAAAATACTCCAGCATAATATACTGGAGTTCCAGTATATTATACTTGAACTCCAGTCTAATATATTGGAGTTCAGTATAATATACCGGTCTAGCATAATATACTGGAGTTTGGAGCACCAATGCTCCAGTCTCCAGTATATTGTACTGGAGCCAGCAAAGCATACTAGTCTAGCATAATATACTGGAAGTTCATACACAGGTGCACCGACCTCCAGTATATTATGCTAGACCGGTCTCTGTTGCAGCAAAATAGTGACTATTTTCAATGACTTGGCAAATTCTGGTTATTTTTGAATGACCAGTCCGAAAACTAGCTAAACTGTGCTATTTTAACATAGTTACGAGCTATTGCTCACCANCACCCAAAAAAAAGACCTATATAATGTAATTCTGGTTTTCCTAATATATAGGATGCTCATATATTCTCAGTCAATTCTAAAAAAGTAAGAATATGTGTAGAGTGCTACTATTATTATTTATTCCTTTCAAAATTGTACAAGAATTAATTTATCTTTCTTTAGGTAGGACAGGGATGGCGGAATTTAACTTGTTGACATTTTTCTTTGACAAATTAATTCTTGTATCAATTTATGTGATGCACTTTTCTTTTTACTATGTTTTAAAGAATGATAAATTTCTATATATATTTAGAGCTAATTTAACTAAATAAGCCTTTTATTTTGTCATTAATAAAATGGTTTATAGCCACATAGGTATTCATGACTTGCCTTAGAGGGTGTTTGGCTAAGCTTATAAGCTGGCCAAATTGGCTTATAAGCACTTTTTGGCTTAATTATCTACGCGTTTGGTAAAATTAAAAGTGCTTATAAGTCAAAAATAAGCCAAAAATCATAAGTTGGTTTCCCCCAACTTATCAAATTTCAGCTTATAAGCAATTTAGGTTTGACCAAAATATTTACTATTCAATCCTAAAATACTTCTTTTTAAAACAAAACTCTTCGGATATCCAATTCTTCAGTTGTTTATTATTAATTTCAGTACTTTTATCCAAACACGTAACTGCTTATTTTTTAAATCAGTTTCAGCACTTAAAAGTGCTTTTCAGTACCTAATGCTTATCAGTTACTCTAAATCAGCTAAGCCAAATGGACTCTTAGACTATAAATTTCAAAAATTATTTCTTCTTTCTTATAATGTGAGTACGTTCCGGTCATAGTGCATCGCGTAAATTGTGACAGAAGGAACACTTGTCAAAGAAAAATGTCAAAATTTAAATACCGCCATGCCTCTTGATCGAGATCTGCTCTTACACGTGGCAGTTTATATATGCCAATTTCCTAATTGCGTTTCCAATTATATATATTGTCAGGGGCGGCGGAGCTAGAGAGCGGGTTCGGTAGGACCCAGTAGCTTTGGTTCAAACATTGTATTTGTTATACGAAATTCATTAAATATGTACAAATTATTAATTTAAAACTCAATAACTTAAAAATAATTAGAATCTCGAACTCATGAGCTTCAAATCCTGATTCCGCCTCTGTATATTGTCCATATTATATTTGGAAGGGAGGTCGATCAAATAGGAAAAGTGGCATGATCCATGCCCGAATATTAAAGCGTGAAATGATATAAAACGACTAACTAAGAAAGACTTCACAACACCAGCATGGGGAACAAAGGATCAATTGCATGGGAAGGGTGGTATTTTGTAATTAGAAAAAGAAACGTAGTATGTCACATCATCATTATAAAGAAAAAGATAAATGTAAGACTATTGTGCCCATTGTCAAATTAAAGTACTATGTTATTAACTCTCAGTTAACATAGTCATTAAAGTATCTATCATATTATATGCTATCACTAATTAAATTCATTTAGACATCGAAGCGAAGATTTGGTGATTGCTGGGATGTTTAGAAGGATAGATATTCTTTGTACTTTGTTCGCACTAAATGATTTATAATATATTTGGTCAAGCTTTAAAAATCAGCTAATTGTGAGAAGTACTTTTTACAAAAGTTCTTTTGGTGAGAAACTAATTAATTTGAAAAACACTTCTAAACAATAATTAGTGTTTGACCAATCTTTTAAAAAGTGATTCCAAATATAATTTTCTAAAAAATGCTTACGGGAAGAAGCTACTTTTTTCTGCTTATACAAAACTATCTCTCTCTACTTGTAGTCAAAAGCGCACTTTTTTTTCTTCTCTAAAAGCTTGACCAAACACTTAAACTTTAAAAAAAAATGCATTTGACTTTGAAGAAATTTGGTCAAACATGCTATTAGTAGAACTATCATGAACTTTGAATCTGAACCAGTTATTTGGCCAAATACATTGACAGCCTTTTGAATGTACACGATATTTTATTTTGACACTTCAAATTTAGGTTTGAGCAACACCTTATGTTATACTCCATCTTAAATGTGTTTTTAAACACAAATCTTTCAAACCCATACGAACCAAAGTGAGTGAATGTCACTCTCTTTTGACGTGACAAACGAAACAAATGAAAAGAATACATGTTAGCCAGAAAATACAGTAAAAATAGCATGGGCTAGTCAGTTTTCGGACTGGTCATTCAAAAATAGTCAGCGTTTGCAAAGTCATTGAAAAATAGCCATTACTTTGCTGCAACACGGAAAGTTCTAGCATAATATACTGGAGATCGGTGCACCCGTGTATGAACTTCCAGCATATTATGCTGGAAACTCTAACACGCGAAAAGTTCCAGTATAATATACTCGAGTATTTTTCTGGATTTTGAACAGTGTTTTCGTTCAGATTTATCTTTACATGAAAAGTGACTAAATTTTGATTACTTTTGAAATTGTGACTATTTTGAATGACCACTTATAAATCTGGCTATTTTTTAATTTAACCTGAAAATACCGAGACATGAATCGAGATAATAGTACTACCGAATTGTATAAACCAAAAGTATCTAGCGTGGTATTAACATGTTCAACTTCGTGAGATGAGTTATCACTTCAACCAAGCATGAATATGTCGGAACTAATTAATCCTTATAAACAAACAGAAATAATTTAGGAGATAGCATGAAATTACCTGAAAGATTCTTTTCAAATTAAGTTTTCACATGAGCATGTGAATTTTACGCCCAAAAATAAAACAAAATAAAATAATAGAGAAGTTGTGTTACCTCATGCATGAATGTGATTTGTTTTGTTGTTTTCTGTTTTTACTAGACGGCACAGAACACTTGGTTTTATGATGTTAACGTAAAAATTATTATGACTAAAATCTCCTCATGGAGACCAAAGGGCAGAAAAGGATATATATCTATGTTCTCCATACTAAAAGGAGAAAATATTCAGATGTGAATGTTAGTCCGAAACTAATATCATCAGTTCCAAAATTTTAATTAAAACAACACATCGGTACGACAGTCTTTATCAATTAATAAACTATACCTCAATTCTAATAAATTAGTTGAAGTCAATTACTGAATCCTTTGAATCCATTCTTTTCTATTTTAGACCCACAACGAATTGAATATATTTTAAAGTTGACCAATACCTATGGCAATCCTTTGCCCAGATTGATCTGTCTATGTTTTGCAGTCCCACATAGGTGGAAATTGCTAATTAGCATGTTTAAATAATGTAATTAAAAAGAAAAGGATAAAATAAAACTTTCACAAAGACTATCGACCATTTAAAAAAATATTACATAGTATTTATTTACCACTCAATATATAATGAACAAGGCAAGCGTAAATACAAGCTAAATGAAGACATCAATTAATACTGACGTGCACAAGTAGTAGCTAGCTGAACATCAATTATAGGGTGAACATGGAGATTAATGCAAGAGCTGAAGTTAGAGAGAGAAGTATGGTTATTCCTTCTTCCAAAAGAATAAAGAGTAGTGTGCGGTACTGGAGAATGAACAAAAGAAGATGTACTTCAAATAGAGGACATCTTCTTCCTTATCACAACTGCTGGTTGTTATTCTTCTTCTTAATTCTTCCAACTTTTTCATTTTATACTTAGCGTGTGTTTGG